ATGCATCACACCTAAAAAAGAACTATAGCATCTTAAAGTAGAGATTTCAAGTTTTAATAAAAAAAAAGAACATAATTTTACGATGATTTTTCGCGGAGTTACCGTCAGTCAAAGTTGACCAATTTTTGCATAAAATTTTTCTATGCCATATTTCTTTTGAGCAGTGTATAACGTATGAAATAAACATAATATAATAGTTTCAGCTAGAAATACAAAGAATGCGTGGAACATTAGCGTTGTGAATAAATAATAATATGTGAATAGTAAATTAACGAATAATCTTGCAAAATATAATCCATTTGTCAACTTGGACATTATTGTACTGTCAAATTAATTATTCAATTGAATTATATTGAACTATATTTCAATGTATATTTCGTATGCGTTAAAAACATGAAATTTTTGGATCAGAATATCTTTTTCATATAAAATGGCTTCCTATTGCAATAATAACGTTTCTGTTTTGCTTCGTATAATAAAATGTATTTTGCTAATATATTATACAATATTATACTAATATATGTTTAAATATGATTTTATATATAAATTTAACTTTTAGATCCACGAGTAGCCAACCTACTGCTAGTCGGTTCTTCCTATCAAGTGCCACTTATAATATTTGCATATTTGTATTTCGTACTTAGCTGTGGACCTCGATTCATGAAGAACAGATCACCATACTCATTAAGAATATTTATGAAATTGTACAATATCGTACAAGTTTTGGGAAATGCGTGGGTAATATATGAGTTTATCGACGCTGGCCTATTCTCACTCCCATTAGTGTGTCCTCGTATTGATTATTCCTATAATTATATTCCAATGAGGGTAATAATTTATACTTAAACCATTTTTAAAAAGATGTATGCTATTGGTAGGAATCTATTTGTAAATGCAATACTGGAGAAAAATTAGTATTTCTCATTAATTCTTTTTCCGTGTCACTTTATATTACACCTTTAATAATGCAGTAATAAAGTTTTTGGCTAAATTTTTTCCAGGAGAACAAAAAGTGAATTAGATAAAAAATAAGAAGAACAATTTTCTGTCAATAGTATACATTTTTACCTAAGTTTTATGTAAGCTTAACGTATTGAATATGTACATATGTCAATGTAGTTAATAATGCTATCTCTTGTATATATTATTCTTTGTGTATGTGTGTGTATTGTTTGTTATAAATAAAATAATACACCACAAATTAATAATATCTAAATCTTGTTGTAGATAACTAGATGCATATGGCATTTCTTTCTCTTAAAAGTATTGGACTACGTCGATACGTTCGTATTTGTACTAAGGAAGAAGGACAATCAGGTATCTCCTTTGCATTTGTATCATCATGTGTCTACTTTGGCTTTGACGTGGATAAGTGTAAGATATTACGCCGTTACTGGCATGGGAGTTACGAACATTATTAACAGCTTCATACACACCATCATGTACACATACTACTTCCTAGCTGCTTGGGGACCAAGTGTTAAAAGGGCTATCGAGCCTATGAAACGATGTATAACTATGTTACAAATGGTAAGTTGTCCTAATGTTTTTTTCCTCCACATTTTTCATGTTGCGTAATTCTTTTCCTTTTCGAATTATCTCACGTATTCGACTAATAATCCAATAATAACAAATATCGACGCTTAAAAATATTTTTTCCGTAGCTGTATGGTTTATTCGTTTCGTGGTGTACACTGAGCGTCATATAAATTATATTACACAAATATGTACATATGTCAATCCATCGATAATACCAGAATTTAATGGCAAATTAATTAAACCGCTTTATTTCCAGATACAATTAATGCTACTGATATTGTATGCGTTGCAATACATAGTGCTGGATTGCACAGACGGAAATAATATCATTGTCATAACATTCATTACAAATGCTGTAATAAATTTGTACATGTTCCGTAAGTTCTATCGAAAAACATACAAAAACGGTGAAAAAATTCAATAGATTGTAAAAAATACTATTAAGAATATTCTTAAAGTAAAAATTACTTGTAAAACATACGTTGAAAGGATATTTTTAGTTAGAGGAATGTCCGATAATTTTATTGCTATCAATGTCTTTCTATATTGTAAACTGTATTCTCACTCTTTTATTACACTGTTCAACAAAATATTTCTCAAACAAAATATAAAGATAATCGTTTTCCGCCGATTTTAATACAATTAAAATATATTATACAGGGAGTCTGACGGATCGCATAGCAGAACATTTTCATACTTAAAATACTCAGTTTAGAAGTCTAATAAAAAAGATATTGGTATTTGAAAGTTTCGATTCGCAGTTTTAACTAAATTTGAAATTATAAAATTGCAAAATTCTTCCACACGATTAAAGTACGCATAAAGACAAAACCAGGTACAGTCGACTTTATATAAAAAAAAAAATAAATTAAAATTATCACTTTATAAATGATTGAGGTTAGCTAACCTCAACTACGTACGAACATTTTATTTTAAGAGTAAAAAAATCTTAATTAATTAACAACGTCAGTGTTTTCTTGAGCATATCTGGCATTTTTAATAATACAGAAAATTTATTGCATAAAATATTACCTCAGCCAGGGTTTGAACCTGGACCTGCCTACACTCTAGACGGGTCCAGGTTCAAACCCTGGCTGAGGTAATATCTTTCGCAATAATTTTTCTGTATTATTAAAAATGCCAGGTATGGTCAAGAAAACACTGACGTTGTTAATTTTCACTGGGGACATTGAAGAATTCTTATTACTTAAGTAATTAATTCTTCTTTTTGTTACAATACAACTTCTCCAACGCATCATATACTATAGTTATAATATGCAAAACACTAAAATAATTCTTTTTGCAATTTTAAACACAAAGTTTCAAAACTGTGACACAATATGGACGACTTTAGGAAATAGGGAAATCGTATTCAGCACTAAAACAACTGCAGGAAACGATTATTTTCGTTCTTATGTATTTTTTTGTTGAACAGTGTTATTTATTACTGTTTTTGTTCTAATAGCACTGAACAGAATAACAATATTGTGCATTCTCCTTTTTATTGTAACACAATCACGATGCTAATGTGAGAAAGCAGTACAACAAAATTTATTTTATAGACTATAGACGTTCTATAGAATATCCAATTAATTTATAATATGGGATACATTCGAACGTTCATCGGTTGTAGTCGTAGCCCAAAGTTTTGGGCATGATATTTAGAGTAGTAGACTGTACACTGTACAGACTGATACAAGTAACGCAGCTGTACGTAACATGCACACTATAGCACGCTTTGGAAAAAAACCAGATTCAACAACGCTGCTTTGTGCTTTGTTGGGCGACAGGCTTCGAAGTACCGTCAGATGAAGGACTTAGGATTAAAATTACGTACCTCCATATTGTAATATGTCATTCCTAACATCATTATGCATCATATTTAGTTTTTAATAAAAAACAAACAATTTCTGCCACAATAAATTAAAATATCTCTCTTGAACACGCTTCACTTATATCTTACATGTTAAAATTTGTAACTTTGACATTGATCGAGTATCTCGACTTTGGAACTATCGGAAGGTTGTTATAATTTAACAGATGTACAGATAACTATTAATAGCACATGGTCCCAATTGCAAGCAAATTTTCAACCAAATATATAGAAAAATAATTAGCCAATGAATGTCCTTAATGTGTGTGTGTGTGTGTGTGTGTGTGTGTATGCGCGCGCGCGTGCGTATATTATGTATATGTGTAATATATTATTTATAAGAAATATTTGGTAATTATTTCTGGTTTATGTAGATTTCAATCTTTTGGAATTTACATTCGTATGTGTAGAGAAATTTAGATGATTCTTTAGATATAAATATACTATAAACCAAATTTAAGATATTCTACCGCCAGCAAATATTAAAATAAAGTAGAGTATCTTAAATTTGGTTTATATATTTATATCTAAAGAATTAGCAAAATTTCTCTACACATACGAATGTAAATTCAAAAAGATATAAATCCACATAAAGCAGAAATAAAGCAGAAATAAAAGTGGTCAGGTCAGGGCATGCGAAAAAGAAACCTGACCCTAAGCCAGATCGGGTCGTTTATCAATTGTTTACACCGTCACGACCTATCGGGAATAGGTTAAATATAAGGTATAGGTAACGACCTAAACGCACGGTATAAACTAGGCCATTATGTAGAATAAAATCATGTAAAAGATACTTTATTAAAGTGTATTTTGTACTATACAGGGTGTCAGATTCGATATGGACGACCCCAAAGATTATAGCAG